TGTACCTGCGTGGAATGGATGATACGTGCTCGTGCTGGTTATCTTACCATACTTTTGTTTATGTTTTATTGCAGTTTACGCGTATTTGTGTTTGTTTGTATACTGCGCTGATCTATGCAACTGTTATTATAATAAGTTTCTTTGGTATCTTTCTCTCCTGCCGTGGTAGAAGTACACAGTTGCTTTTGTCGCTACGTAGTGTTCTACAAGAGCTAAACTGCACACATCCGTCTACACAGGTGAACACTGATTACAATGAACAGTGACTAAATAAACGGCTTTTATATGGGCCCTCAGATATAACGACTGAATAAAAGAATATGGCGGACAAATTCCTTTTACGAATCGTGTTCAGCTTTATTGAGGTTTTATTGAAATATACATGTAATACAATTCATGAACTAAAATTTGATGACTTCATAAAATTAAAAAAACCCCTAAAATTGGCTCTATTAAATTTGAAAGAAAAAAAGGTCATATGCATGCACGAAATATTCTTAAATGACTACAGATGTGATGTGAACTCACATATTAGAATATTTAAGTACATACATGTATATTCTCTTTAGAGAAGTGGACAGGCTTTCGCCTACATCCACTTCTCTTCGCAAGCCTTCATATTTTGATTCTGGAAAACGTGTAAATCTCGAACCGGTGACGGTCTACACTTCAACTGACATTTTGTCTAAAATACGTCTGAATGTACGTAATAGACGTGTTATATTAACAATTTTAACATAAATACACACAACTGTCACAAGAAAACTGACCTTTAAGTATTGTTAATCCATTTTCACAAGTTCTCCATCCCGGATTTATACCACAGCTTATTAGAAAAAATTGAAAATTCTAAGTCGGATAATTTGGAAAAATTGGCGAAGACGTATTTTAATGTTCAAAAAAAGTTTTTGACAATTCACTTTTGATTTAGCATATTATTCAAAATTAATATTATTACCTATACTTATTTTTACTATTTTAATACAATTTAAATGTAAATTTGAGCTTAAAAAATACTTCAGTACTTCCTCACTGACAATACTAAAAATATTTTCCTTTATTTTTAAACGATATTAACCCTACCTTTCCCGAGAAATGAAAAAAGATTTAAAACAAAGATCAAAAGAATTTGAACGAAACTTGAGGAAATACTGTCTCGTTAGTTTAAACAGAGTAGACGATTTCTCTCGTTTCATTGTTTTTGTGTAAAAATAGTTTCCATTTTTATCCGAATTAGAGATTTTTGAATACTTTAAGAGTTACTTGCACATAATTTAAATCCGGGATCGAGAACTTGTGAAAATGGATGAACAATACTTAAAGGTTAGTCTTCTTGTGGCAATTGTGTGTATTTATGTTAAAATTGATAATATAACACGTCTATTACGTACATTCAGAGGTATTTTAGACGAAATGTCAGTTGAAGTGTAGACCGTCACCGGTTCGAGATTTACAAGTTTTCCAGAATCAAAATATGAAGGCTTGCGAAGAGAAGTGGATGTAGGCGAAAGCCTGTCCACTTCTCTAAAGAGAATAATACATGTAATAAATAGTATGCTATCTACTAAAATCCATCTTCACAATGTCAAGGCTTTGCGATATTGTTCCTCTACACAAACCCATGACATAAGTCGCTATGTAAAAGTCGTCCTTGCGGTTACACATAACATACAGTAATTAGATAATATTAAACCAACCAATGAGAATATGGGTGAATTAAAAAAAAATGACCAAACACATATTTATCAACCCACACTAAAAATACAGGCAATGGAAAGAGATTTCTATGTCTCAGCATATGTCTTTAGATAGTGTCTAAATACCTCCAAATATCTCGTTGATATCTCAATTAACAAAAAAATTATACCCAAAAATGATTCTAAAATTGTCAGGAGTGCAACACCTTTTTGTGACATTTTGAAATTTCAATATTTTTTGGAGATCTGTGAAATAAAAAATAATGCTTCATGTTGAAAATAAAGACTTTCCTGATAATATTCAAAGTATTGAGCTTTAAATGTGGACTGTCATAACTTTTGTTTAATCAGGTTGTGGTCATGGCTGATATTTAAAAAAATGTTATACCATGTCAGGAGTGCAACAGAAAAAAATGTAGTGTTGCCAAAAAAAACATCAATTGTAAAATTCTGATAGAAAATTAAGACAAAAAAGAATTTGGAAGTGTAAAATAATAACTGATATACATTTTAAAACTTAAAAATGTTATATAAATCACAAGCAGCATTAATGAGAGTCAAGTATATGTGCATACCCAAAAATGTCAGGAGTGCAACATTTGATGTTTTGCTCCCAAGCATGAAAAAACTATTATCAAAATATGATTTTCTGATTTTTATTTTGGAAAATAAAGACACAAAGAACATTTTTACCAAATAGATTTATCAATTACAGGATCTGTCTGTGCTTCAGATCCATAATTCTATGGTCAGGAGTGCAACACATTTTTTAAGATTCAAGTTGTGTGACGAAAAGACTTCTATTTATGCTTAGAAGTATTCATTAATTAATAATGATCTTTTTGTATAATTTAATGCTAAATTATTGACAGTTTTAGTATTAAAATCCTTCCTTTCTCAATTTTATCAATTCAGATGTGTTTTTATCTTTTTGTAATTTTTTTAATGAACGTTAAAAATGTCCACACTAAAAGATTGTCATAAAATTCGAGTAATTCCTCCTCAACTTCACTGAAACAACAGAACAAGTTCTTATGTAATTTTCACTTCACAATTCTACTTTAAAGGCCCCAATGCTTTTGGTCAGGAGTGCAAAAAATATGTTAGAATTATAAATCATCCAATAAGAATAAAAATAAAGAAAAAATGATGAGTAGAATTTTTCTGATGGGATACTGTGTTTGTCTTCTAAAGGAAAATATGCTTTGAAATATATTTTATCTTCTAAATATACATTTAAGCTAGTTTTTTTGGCATAAAATAGGGTATAATTCCAGATAAAATGCGAATTTTAAATACTTTCATCTGTTTTAATTATGAAGTATTGGACTATAAGTATTGCACAATTTCATTACCACTTGATGTTGCCAACACTTTATGAATTTTTGTGTTCTATGGTTTTAAATTTAAACTTTACTGCAGTCAGGAGTGCAACAAAACTGCATCATAATTACCAATGCTTTTTAACTATCTTTACTAAAAAATAAGTTGAAAAAAAATGCTTGATACTATTTGATGTTCAAAACCCTATGCCTATCAACAAATTACAGAAATTTTACAGTCAATTCAGGGAATAGTTTCATCAGAGTGCAACAAAACTGCATCATAATTACCAATGCTTTTTAACTATCTTTACTAAAAAATAAGTTGAAAAAAATGCTTGATACTATTTGATGTTCAAAACCCTATGCCTATCAACAAATTACAGAAATTTTACAGTCAATTCAGGGAATAGTTCCATCATTTCACATATATTTTAAATACAATTTATATATATTACACTTTGCAAATAATCATGTTTTAAGGTCTTCAAAATATGAAAAACCTGCTGTAAACAATGAAAACTATCAACATGACAAATTGATTTACAAAGGAAGAATGGGTTATTGTGTGTTATAATTTTTAAAACAATGTTAAATAAAATACATATCCGATGTCAGGAGTGCAACACAATAATGTAACATAAGGTCACTTCAAAATCTAGTATTTTTCTTAAGAGAACTCGTATATAACAATTCTTTTTTGGCTTAGATTTATTAAATTGATTTGAACGGACAAAAAAGTGAATTTGGGGGAATTTTATTGCTTCATATTTTTTTTTCATATTAAAACTTTTCAAACTAGAATTGAAAAAATAATGTAAAATAACAATCAAAAAGCCAAATTTTTGTCACATGTACAAGAGAAGATACTCATTCAAGGTCTAGATTTAATCATTTATACCCCTTTTACCATTTTGAAGCATAAAAAAACTATAATTTCTTGTGATTATGTATTTTAGAAAGTCTTTTAAGGTGTAATGATATTTTCTTTTTTCAAAAGAAATTTTACTACTAAAAATTCTGAAACTTTTTCATCCAATTGTCTATTCTATTGCCAGTTCAGGATTTTAAACTAGAATGCATTTGCAATATGATGATATAAGTGAAAAATATGTTATAAGTAGTTGAATTTTGCCAAAAAAAATTCAGTTTGGTGGTCATTTTTTTTTAATTCACCCATATATCTTTCTAAGAAAGGTTCGGTAAGAGCACGAAAGTGGCGTCTGAAATCGAGAAAAACACACAGAATTTAGTTTTGTATATTTCATCTGGTTTTGTTTACTTTCAAGTATGAAAGACATTTCGTCCGGTTTATTAAAACACAGAGGACATACGCACTTTGACATTCTAGTGGCTTATAGCCCTGTACCTCTTTTACTAGTGATCATAAGGTAAAGGGTGTACTAAAATTTATCTCCCTCAATTGATTTCCTTTGTACCGAGAGACCATTTTTGTGTACAAATCTTTACCCAATATTAATACCATTTTCTGATTCGTTCCCAGTCCAAGACCGAGAACAAATGAAAAAAGTTTTCTAGCCCGACTTTTAAATAGCGACTTTTGTCAAAGGTTTGTGTTGAGAGCCTTGACATTGTGAAGATGACCAAAATCCGAATAATATGTTATATGATTTTAATTTTTACATGTAAAATTCTCTTTTTAAAACACTAAAGGTGAGAGTGTTTGGTCAATTCATCTTATCTAGATCTCGTATTAAAAGGGTCATTTTCATAGAAAATATAGAGCATTTTAATTTTTTAAAAATTTAAATGCAAAATGTAAATTTTTTAAATAACTAATTCATTTAAAGGTATTGATCTCAGTTTCTTGTCGAAACTTTAGATTTGAGAAGCAGCAAAATTTATGCAAATATAGATAATGTGAGATGCGATGCGTCGATAGGTTTACCTTTTCCCACCCGTAACAGCTATAAAACTACCACATTCAATATTCACATTATTAGGTGTGCATCATATCATAAATCTATCTCATCATCCATCCACGAAATAAACATCCGGGGAATTAACACGATGCTAACAACCGGATGCCGATAAAATGATACAAAACAGTGAGCGCATGCATGTTTCATGAATGTTGATTACGGTTCTCGGAAGCGAAACATCGGCTTCCCATGACTCTCCGCCTAATAAAGTCCACAAAGAGGAACTTTTATTTGTATTCTGCGAGAGTTAAAACATTTCCCATCGGAGACCTCGTGTCGATATCACACACGGAGAGAATTGCCTTTTTTAAGACTACCAGACACGTTAGAGAGAGCATTGGATTTGGGACCTTCGCCTTTCTTAGACTGAGTTCTTCAGAAATCTCTGAGTTGATCTGATTTATTGCACCCAATATGTATTGAAGAATATTCAGTTATATTGATTGTGCAATAGGAATCTCGTTTGTTCACTTTGCATCACAAGTCAAACAACACTCTAATATCAGGATGGAACTCAGCAAGTAACAAGTAAGTTGTTCTGAAAGATGGAATAGATGAATTAAATGAATGCCACAAAAGTTTTACATCCTTAATCTGCTTTAAATTCTGAAACCTTTTTATATAATTTTCTCTTAATTTTTGTAATAGTAATAAGCATATCAATGGAAAATGATTTTGTTACTAGTATTTACTAAGTTAGGTGATGATGTTGAAAATACACTCGTTTTACTGTTCGTTTTAGCTCGTTTTGCTTCTTTTATTTCGCTACCTTTTTTGATCTACTATTGAAGTGCAGTTGTAGTGCAAGTGTTGAAATCGCATTGTCATTTAAGAGAGTTAAAAGAAATCAATATAATCACATTTTTATACAATATCTATAGAATATATTGCTAAAGGTAAATTTTATTTCATTGTATAAACATCATAGCAATGAGTAATATTTTTTTTTATTATAAAAAGAAAATTGTTGGTAATGTTCTCCGAGGTCAAGAGGAAATTGCAACGCCTTTTAAAGCATCTTTTGTACCAGAAAATACATGAAAGATTGCTCTTAATTAAATGTTGAGCCATCAAAAGGCGATTCTTTCTTGACTGCATTAAGGTTAATCTTGGAATACCAGCATCAATTAACACACGCTAAATACCTTAGAGTATGTGCTCTAAAATCTTATAAAACATCATGTCTTTCTGCATTATCTATAATCACTAAATGACTAACTAATATTCTACTTCCTGTAAAGACTAGTAAAGTAATTATCTACATTCTGTGGAGGCTAAACAGCTATCTGTACCATACACTTAGTCCTCTGTCATGGTATTATCAGAACGACGGTGAGAAATCGCTTTGAATCGCTGACTGTAGTTCACTTGCATGTACAATGCTTTAAGATCTGATGAAACGTAGCTCGAATATCTATTTTGTATCTCTTCGTAATATACAACGAATCAATCATAATTACCATTATCTTGTGATTTTTAAAATGTTTTCAAAATGTTTAAGTAAATAAAGACACCAAAAAAAATGTGATATTGGCAATTCTTGTGATTTCCAATAAGATTAAATAGTACATGTGTAAATAGCATTCTCTGGTATCTTGCACAAATGCCTGTTAAGGTACTTCAATCTTTTGTAAAGAAACGTGTTAAAGTAGCAATACTCAATGACAAATTCTTTGGGGGGGGGGGGGAAGTGATATATCATTGAGGAACGTGTCGTCTGTATATATATGTAATTTTTATACACAGATTAAAAATAACATGTTTACTTTGTGTTTACTTTGTCGATGGACGTTTTGCTGAACGTTGTTGCTTGGCAGATACATACAAAAGGATATGCATGTATATATAAAGAGGGAGAGGTTACGATACAAAAAATGAATTTCTCATAAATGTGCTTAAATACCATTATCCTTAGATTCGATTAGTCTCAAAATGGAACACGCTTCAAACTTTTAAGGTCTATTCTTCATACATGTAACTTCTGTCATTGATTCTTAATGGAATCCTTATCATTTTTTTTCTTGACTACATTTATACTATAGTAAGATATGTATCTGGATATTTTGTTTGGAATCTTTTCTTTCTTGAGATTCTTTTAATGAACTAAAACGCAAAGCTGCAAATTCGCTACAATGTATAGTGGCACTTGCTGTCTTTTTGCTTATATATATAAAACGATTTTTTTTCAAGTTCTCTCGTACTTTTTTTTAAAATTTCCTTCTATGTAAGAAAACGTATTATGAATTATTTTAAAAATAGTTTTGAGTGGTACTTTTAAGCTCAGAAAAAATCCAAGCAAAGTATGCATTTTTTTAATTGCATGATTTTGCTAAATAGTGTGAGTTTTGCTGTATTTATAATTCATACAGCTTGCTAGAGATTCATTTATTATACATTTTATTGCGGAAATAATTATTAAATTATGAATATCAAGTAATAATAAAAATGAATAATAAAAATGAAATATAACTCTCTACTGGATAATATATATTAACATATTTGTCAAAATAGTAGAGTCTCTGTCCGAAAAAAATAATTGATTTTAACCAATATCCTTTATGTGAAAATTGTTGATTTCAACAAGTTCCACTCTGTCACTTTTAAATAGGATAAACAAATTATTAATAAAGTTTTCTATAGCTTTTAAGTAGATGTAGAGCTGCGTTCATATTTTGTGCATCAGTTAGGGCTAGGTACACAACTACATAATTCGATGTCGTAAATGCAGTTATTGATTCGACAAGAAAAATGTTTAAATGAATTACGAGTCTTTTATTTCATAGTGTGCGCACCATTGTCTAGCTCAAAAATTACCTTGGTAAAACTGGTAAAAGACGACTCGTCTCTGTCCTGTAGATTAATAAGCAAAAGTGACTCAGCAGTAAATTAATAAATTTCTGTACAAACGTACCAATATATGTTTAAGATTTGATGTAATATAATACCAGAAAAAAAAACAATCTACGAAAATTAAAAGGGATAAGGAAACATTATTCCCCGTTAATCTCTGCTACTATTCCATTTTTTCATTTCTGTTTTAACTTGATTTAAACTGTGAGTTCATGTTCTCATATAATTTTATATAATATAGTTCTTTAAAAACTATTTGAAATGCATTGCTTTCATATTTCTTTAAGGAGCATTTTGGTATGTTTATATAGCTTGCAAGACTTTGGTGCCCAGCTTATGACGTCACCGTGTCATGTGACTTCCATTGTCTTCAATTCTGGCTAAAATAAGGCAATCTACTTATGATAATCAAAAAGTATATCTTGTTTTTTTTTTTTAAATCTGTTTTTGGAATTTCGATGAAAGTCCTATAAGCCATATGACAATCATGAATCAAGAGTATTATACTTTAATATAAAATTGAGTGTACCCTAGAAATAATTTATTATCTTAACTAATTTCTAAAATAACAAAAATATTAATAATTGATTGAAAAGAAGATTAAATGCATAACGTATACTTTGTGATTGAAAATGAACGAAGTAATGGCATGTATTCCTGTTGAATTGTCATAATGATATTAATCAAGTTATTTTATTTCAAAACCATTGAAAATACACAAACACAAGAGAAAAGTACTAATAGTTTTGTAATAATTAAAATGATCAAAATTAAAGGTTTCAATCACATCTAAAATGAAAAAACTCTTCTTTTTTTTTTTTTTACAAAATCATGAAAATGATATTTAAAAAATTAACATCATCAATGAAATGTCAAATTTATAGATGAAAACTTGTACCGTGTTAATCAGGGTCTGAACCTGACATCAATGAATTAGCCTGGTTCCCTGTCCCCGTTTTACTTTGCAAGTTCCAAAAATCTTCTCGGACTTTCCAGCAAACTCGGCGCCTTCACGGTAGCTCAGTCGGTAGAACGCTTGCTCCGTGATCGGAAGGTCGTGTGTTGGAATCACGACTGCGACTGACCTAAGTCAATAAAAAATAGGTAACAACTGTTCCTTCGCCAAGCGCTCGGCACTTTGAAGTGAAAGTTGCGGGTCCTTCGGATGAGACCTTAAAAGCGAGGCTCCTTGTCACGGTAGGCGTTGGCACGATAAAGAACCCTCACTGCTCAATGGCCCTAAGTGCCGAGTAAAGGTCTAAATTTGAAGCCCTTCACCAGTATATGGTGACGTCTCTATATGAGTGAAAAAATTCTCTAACAGGACGTAAAACAACATGTAATCAATCAATCAATCAATCCGGCAAACTCGGAAAAACACATCGAATGTATTTACATTAAACACTGGATGTTTAAATTTTGAACAAAATAAAGTCACTTCCTATTATTAAAGTATGAAAATGTTCAGTAAATGCAAATACATGTATTTCCATTTGTTTAATTAAACGATTTTATTATCTCAAAAGTGGTGAGAATAAGTACTATATTTTAACACAAAAGTTTTAATTCTGCGGCTGTTTAGTCAACGTCCGGTTTGAACAGGTTGACAATAGCCGGCGTAAAGACGAATAATGAACCCCGTAGAATAATGATCGGGGGTCATTTTTCGACGTCAAAAAATTACTCCCGGTCATCATTCGACGTCGAGAAATGACTTTTTTGCCTGTAGAAAAAGTGGCATCACCCTTAAAATCTACATACCTTACGTGAAGAAAAATGACCCCAATAGAAAAGTGACCCTTTGTAGATTTTTTAAGGTATATTTTTCTTTTTAAGAATTTCTACATCAAGGGGCTCTAAAGTTGTTAAACAAATTTTAATTGCGTGTTCTTCTAGTGCTAATCAGAAAAAACGTATGAGTCTTACCCGTTGAGACCCAAGCCTTAATTGACATCAAACATCATTTTCATTTTGTATCATCTGTTGGGATGGGGGTCATTTTTCAACGGGGGTCAATTTCTTATAGGTTGCACATGTAGAAAACTGACTCCAAGGGTTCTCTACGGTTAGGGGCTCATTTTTCGATGGCCCCTGGTCATTTATCTACGGAGGTCATTATTCGTCTTTACATGGCTATTGCTTCTCAAGAAATGAACCGGGCTAAAAAAAGGCTTGCAAAAAAAAAAAAAAAAAAAAAAAAAAAAAAAAAAAAAAAACAGACTCCTGTTATATATATCAAAACGGGAAAAGATTACTTGCTTGGAAGCAAAAATAGATTGATTGTATGTTGTTTTACGTCCCATTCGAGAATTTTTCACTCATTCAGAGACGTCACCATATACTGGTGAAGGGCTTCAAATTTTGACCTTTACTCGGCACTCAGGGTCATTGAGTAGTGAGGGATCTTTATCGTGCCAACGCCTGCCGTGACACGGGGCCTTGGTTTTTAAGGTCTCATCCGAAGGACCCGCAACTTTCACTTCAAAGTGCCGAGCGCATGGCGAAGGAACAGTTGCTACCCATTTTTTATCGTCTTAGGTCAGTCGCGGCCGAGATTCAAACTCACGACCTCCCGATCACGGAGCGAGCGCTCTACCGACTGAGAGCAAAAATAAAAGTTATGTCTGAAGTTAAAAATAAATCATTAATATTGTTCTGTGAAAGTTCGGCTTATGAGC